CACCGGCCTTCGCTTCTCGCGCAGGCGCAGCCTGGGTTCTCCGGCCCCACAGCCCGGAGCGGCAGGTTCCGCGTTCTTCAGCGGCAGCTGCCGTCACTTCCGGCGGCGTTGCTAAGCAACTGCGCGGCATTTCCAAACACTGCAGGCTAGAGGCTGCGGCGCCCCGCCTCGCAGTCGCCTTTCCAAGTCTGAGAGCGCCATGGGCACCTCGGCAGAGATGCAGGTGCGGTTCGGAAGGCGCTCTGGACAGGTGAAGGGAAGCACGGGTGAGCTAAACTGCCCCACGCTGACATGGGGATTGTTTCTGACCCCCCAGACGCGGGGTGAGAGGCGAGGGTGCCAGGTGAGGGGGCCTAGTCCAGGGCAAGTGGACTCCAAGTCAAAAACAGCGTGGGGTTCTATGTAAATTAGACAGTTTTGCCCTCAGATTAATCGGTAGGTGGGAAAAGTTTACATAAATACCCGACCAGTGTGGCTTAGTGGTGGAGCGTGGACCCATGAACCGGGGATGTCCAGGTCAGGGCACATGCCGGTTTCCGGTTGGATCCCAGTAGGGGGCGTGCAGGAGGCAGCCGATCAATGATTCTCATCCTTAATGTTTCTATCCCTCTTCCTCTCCTTTCCTCTCTCTGAAATCAATAAAAACATTTGAAAAGAAAAAGTTTACATAAATAGTGGTGGAGAAATTATAAGAAGTAGGCTGACCCAATTGATCTGTGTGGTTGCAGTTCCAGGAGTCTGGAGTTTACCTTAGAGCTCATCAGAAATGTTTGTTAAAAAAGTCAGTGCCGCCCTAGGCCGTTTGCCTCAGTGGATAGAGCATCGGCCTGCCGACTAAAGGACCCGATTGGATTCCTGTCAAGCGCACATGCCCGGGTTGCAGGCTCGGTCCCCAGTAGGGGGCGTGCAGGAGGCAGCTGATCAATGATTCTCTCTCATCATTGATGTTTCTGTCTCTCCCTCTCCCTTTCTTTTTGAAATCAATATATATATTTAAAAATCAGTGCCATTTTTTAAACTTCACAGCTGGCTGAGGAAGTGATGATAGTTGAGTACAAACAAGATGACCAAGAAACTTATGTTCTGGAATTAGTGGTGATGTTTGCACAGCTTTGTGAATAAACTAAAAGTCACTGAATGTTACCCTTTACAATGGTGAGTTTTATGATATGTGAACTATATCTCAATTTAAAAAGAGAGATTTTGTAAACCACGGAAAGTGTGTTAACGATGACAGCTCATGGACTGATTTTAGATACCTGTAGGTCATTTGCCACTGCTTTTGTCCCCTCTCTACTCCATGAGACTGTCTGTCCAGTGATTCCCAAAGTGGGCGCTATCGCCCCCTGGTGGGCGCTGCAGCGATCCAGGGGGGCGGTGATGGCCACAGGTGCATTTGTTTTAACTTTTTTTATATTACCTTTCTATTCTGAGTTCAATAAATAGTTTCATAATTTCAAACTTCAATGTTTCTAATTTTCACCTTTTTTTACTATATTTTACAAAAAAGGTAGAAACATTAATACATATATCTTTCTGTTTAATTGCTATTAAAATTTAAAAAAAAATAATTTCCAGGGGGCGCTGAGTAATATTTTTTCTGGAAAGGGGGCGGTAGGCCAAATAAGTTTGGGAATCACTGGCCTAGTCATATTCTTTCTCTTTTTTCTTGTTCCTTCTTTCAACTGTGGCCTGTTTAATTTCTGGAACAGCCACTACTAGCATTGTGTGAGAGCCACTGTGAGGAAGGGATCTTGGAAATAAGAGTGGCCTTAGAGGAGTGAACTGTACATCAATCCAGTGAACTAGAGCATGGATGTGTGAGATCATCTGTAGCTCTGATGTCAATCAGAGCTCCTTATCCTCAGAGAGATGGGGAAACTTGTCCCAACTTTAGTGGCCTCGAAAGTCAAAAAACTTTCCCAGATTTTCTGTGGGTTCTCTTATTTCTTTATGCTTGCCCATTTCTACTGCTTTTGTTCACTTGGTTCTCTTCTTGAGTCAGAGTCCATGAAAAGATCTTGAATAAGCCCTAGCTGGTTGTTCAGTGGTTAGAGCGTTGGACCGCTGACTGAAGAAGGGTTATGGGTTTGATTTTGGTCAAGGGCACGTACCTCGGTTGTGGATTTGATCCCCGGCCACCAATTGATGTGTCTCTCTCACTCGATGTTTCTCTCTCTGTGTCTCTCCCCCTTTTCCTCTCTCTCTAAAATCAATGGAAAAAATATCCTTGGGTGAGGATTAACAACAACAACAAAAGATCTTGAATAAAACATCTCATGAGTGCAGTTACTCTACTGAAGATCTGGGATGTCACAGAGGAGGGATCACATTGTGCACCACATAGCTTCTGACATGCAGCTCTCCTTCCACTGCTTCCATCCAGAGCCTGTTCACCACTGACTAAGGAACTCCAGGCTTCTGGTCTGATTGATCTGATTGAACTAGCAGTATAATGAGATCCTCATTGTGCCAGGTGCTTCCTTTTTTTCCACCTTGTGGTTCACAGTAACAGCTTCCTATAAGGCTGCTTCCTTTTGTGGTCCTAGGATGGGTGCCTATCTGGCCTTCATGCTTCCTTGTTCATATCTAGCTTGAGAGTAAGTCTCAGATATCTTTACCAGAAGAACAAGAAAGAACTTTTCTAAAAGTCTCAAATAAACCTCTTCTCCTATTTTTTTATTATAGAAATAATTATTGGCAAGGGAGATGCAAGTATTCTTAAACTAATGAGGCCCACCCTAGAAACCGTAGTCAGTTCTCCAAATTACATTGCTGGTACTCAGTTAGGAAGGGGTTGAATAGAGTCAGTTATAATGTCTACAATCCCAATAGGTGAACATTTCCAAAGTTATCTATAACAATAAAATCATAATATGCTAATTAGACCAGACAACTGAATGACCTTCTGGACGTCCTTCTGGACGACCTTAGGGATGAAGCCGCGGTGATGGGGGCCGAGGCAGAGGTGGTTAGGGGTGATCAGGCAGGAAGGCAGAGTGGATAGGGGTGATCAGGCAGGCAGGCAGGTGAGCAGTTAGGAGCCAGTGGTCCCGGATTGCGAGAGGGTGCAGGCCAGGCTGAGGGACACCCCCCCCCCGCACGAATTTTGTGCACCGGGCCTCTAGTCCATTTATAAATTCCTACGTGGTTATATTGAAAAATGCTTTTATAACAACCTGTTGGGTAGGTATTATTGATGTCAGCTTTAAAAATGTTTATACCAAGACTCCAAGAAGTTAAATGACTTGCCCAAGTTTACACACTAAGGAAATGACTAAACAAGGACTTAAATCTATGCCTTTGATTTCAAGGTGTTGTATCTTTCCATTTAATCCCAGCTGCTCTTAAGATAACAAGAATATAATTATTATTTCAAATAATTTCTAGATATACCTATATAGAAATGTCTGAGAAAAAAATATCACACTCTTCTTGAAAGTTTTTAATATTCATTTTTAACACTTTATTAGAAATAAAGAACTCCAACGAAGATCAAGTTCTCTATCCACCTCTTCTACCTAGCAAAGTAGATCTCCAGCAGGTCACCATAATTCCACACAATGAGTGGGAAAGGATTCGAGATAGCATTGACGGTATGACAAGAAAAGCAGCATGCCTTCGCGCAGAAAGAAAGGCAAAGAAAGAAATGCATCTCCGATCCCAAGAAGTGGTAAAACATTGGGCTCGAACATATGCAGTAAGTATTAACCACCCAGGAGTACATAAGCACTGAAGGCTTACTTTTTTTCTTAGCACTCTTATAAATATTTTTACATATAGCCCTAGCCAGTTTGGCTCAGTGGATAGAGCATCGGCCTGTGGACTGAAGGGTCCCGGGTTCGATTCTGGTCAAGGGCACATGCCCGGGGTTGTGGGCTCGATCCCCAGTAGGGAGTGTGCAGGAGGCAGCCAATCAATGATTCTCTGTCATCATTTATGATTCTATCACTTTCTCCCTCTCCCTTCCTCTCTGAAATCAATAAATATATATATATATATTTAAAAAGCTGCTTATGAACTTTCATGTGTAATTCTATGTATGGATATATGCTTTCATTTCTCTTGGGTAAATATCTTGGTGTAGAATAGCTGAATCATATGATGTATGCTTATATATTATTATGTAAATATATGAAGGAACTTTGAAGTAAACACAAGAAACTAATAATAGTGGTTGTCTTAGAGATTGCCGATGTAAATTAGGATTAGAGGGAGAGTTTCACTGTATACATTTATAGTATTTTTGGGTTTTCAACCATATAACTGTGTTACCTACCTAAAAAGTTCAATTAAAAATTAGCTCATGAGTGTAACTTCTTATTTTATTTATTAATGATAAATGCAAATACAATAAAGACTAATAATGAAAGTTTAAATGATCATATTACAATGTTCAATTTTGTAAAATTTAATTGAAAAATGAAAACAGATGACTGCTTTGGTCTTTTTTGCAGGGGATAAAAGAACAAAAACTTAAAGCCAAAAAGAAGCGTGATGAAGAAATAGAGGCCGAAAGACAAATTCTTGATCTGGAAGAAGCGATATACAAACAAGGAGAAAGAAGAAAGGCCATTGAACATGCAAAGCAATATCAATTTTACCAGACAGAAAGACTGAAAAACTTTCATGTACTACTTGGGTTTTCTTGTATTTTTATATATACTTAACATATTTATACACTATTAGATTTTATTTTCTTAAAGTACTGTAATTTTTTTTTTTGTAGTCAGGACTTCTTCTTAGTAGAGTGATGAAAGAACGTGATGCTCAGATTGAATCCCAAAAGAGTAGAATAAAATCTGATGAAAAATGGGAGGAACAACTGAAACTCAACATTGAAAAAGCTCTTAAGGAAGAACAAGAAAAAGCAGGAAAACAACGCAGAGATAGAATAGCTCTTGCCAATGATCATTTAAAACAGTATGTATATATAAATTATCTTGTTTGTTCCTTTCTCTTTTTCTCATGATGGATATAGCTTTTTTTCCTGATTATAAAAGTAATACATGCTAAAATACCTACTAAGTAGAAAAAAAATACAGGGAAAGAGGGCAAAACTCATTATCACTCCCTTACCCAGAGGTGATATATTGTCACTATAATGCTGCAGAACAAACAACCACATAGTCTAGTAGCATTCACCAATAAACACTTATTTCTCGTATATCTGGGGGTTGGTTGGGCGTGGCTGGCAGCTTTTGTTCAAACTGCAGGACTGGCTGGGTTTGCTTGTTGTGGGCAAGGCTCTGATCTGCTCCCTGTGTATTCATTCTGAAGTCCTAGATGAAGGGCCAGCAGTCACCTGCGGGAAGCTTTTCTGACGGTACTGACGGAGATGCAGAAGAATGAGCACAAGCTTGCAAGAACGTGGCTAAACCCAAGGTCAAAGGTCAAGGAAACACATGGCCTACCATGAGTCTAAGCCATAAGGCTCGGCCTAACAACATTAGAACAGAGAAATAGACTCCCATGGGAGTGGGGAGTGAGAGAGTAAGCTTTTTTGAATAATCCACCACAATAAGCTGTTTTTGTTTTTGTATATAGCCATATAGACCTTTTTTGATGGTGGTGGTGAAGGTGGGTGGATTCATTGAGGTATAATTTACATTTAATAATAATCGACTTTTTAACAGCATAGAGCTGTATACCTCACCCAAATCAGGACACGGGATACTTCCATCACCCAAATGGGTTTCCTCATGCCCCTTTGCACTGAATTCTGTCCCCCACCCTCCGCCCCTGGAAATCATTGATCCAGTGATGCAACCATTTTTCCTGATCATATATACTCACATTTTATAAAATAAAATTGGATCAACTACCATTTTATTAAATGTTTTTTTCATTTATCAATATGTCAGTAAATTGAAATCAAACCTGATCTCTTTTTTAAAAGTATAATTTTTCTTACTTTTCTAAATAGCCGATACACACAAATAGGAAAAGGCACAAAGGGGATTCAGAAAAAGTCTCCTCTGTGTCCACCAGCCACTTTGTGTCTCCAATGTGAGATTTACCAGTTTCTTTACACTGTAGTTTAAATGTGTATAAATTGTAAAAATACATAAAAACCTTTACACAATACTGTATTGGTAGACATTATAGAATTATAAAACATAGTTAAAATTAAAAATAAATTAAAAATCACTAGAAATTCAGTGATCTAGAGTAGGCACTGTTAACATTTGGTGTATGTCTGTTCTTAAAAATTATTTTTGCAAATAATAAATGCATTTATGCTTATTTAAATTCAAGCTATACAGCAAAATTTGGAGTAAAATTTGAAAGCTCATCTTCAAATCCATCCTATTGAATGTCTGTCTCTTTAGTCTCATTTTCCTCTTCCTAAATAGCCATTATAAAAAGTTTTATAACTATCCCTTCAGAATGTTGAAGTTACTAATACTTATTATATACAGCACATATTTAAGTGTGTATGTATTTTTTAACTTGGATGTTATACAATATATTTTTCTGTGACTTCATTTTTTCACTCAACAATATACCTTGAATATCTTTTTATGCCAGAATATATGGATCAGTCACATCTTTTAAAATAATCATATTGTATACTAAGCATGTACCATTATTTATCCTATATAATAAAAGCCCAGCAACCAAACGGTGGAACAACCAGGCCAACCAGTCGACCAGTTGCTATGACATGCACTGACCACCACAGGGCAGACACTCAAGGCAGGAGCTGCCCCCTGGTGGTCAGTGCGCTCGCATAGTGGGAGTGCCACTCAGAGGACAGGCCCACAGCCGCTCAGCTAACTGAGATGAGCGGAGCTCCCACAGCAGGCCAATCCCCACAGGCCATGCCCCCCCCCACCCAGTGCATGAATCCCATGCACTGGGCCTCTAATTTAGTAACTTTTGTGCAAAGATGTATTTATGTAGGATAGAGTTCTTGAAATGGACTTGGATTTTACATTTGGAGAGTGACACCAAATTGCCTTTGAGAAGGCTTTCAGTGCATTCATCAATGATGTCTGACACCCTTTATACTATAATCAATACTGGTACTTTTTTTGGCAAAAAATCATATCTTTTAATTTACATTTCTAGTAATTTTAGTGAGACAGCATTTTTTTCATGTATAAATGTCCATTTGTTTGGGTTTTTATTATCATGAATTGGTTATCCCATTGTTCTTGTGTAGGTTGTTTCATATTGGTATGTAGTTTGTCATTGATTAAAAACTGATTAATAAGGAGTTTTATATATATTGATATTCTAATGTATTAGTCATTGCAGATTTTGTCATCTTTCTGAATGGTTTTTAGTAGTTAGAAGATATTTATTTTTATGTGTTCAAATCTCTCTTTTTGTTATGATTTTATTTTTGTATATATATGTATTTCTCAGAATCACAAATATCTAAGTGACATTGACATCAATTCTCAGGATGTACTAGTATGTGTTGCCAGATTGTATTCTTCAGTTATTTTAACCCTTAGTAAAAGGAGAAGGGTAACTTTTGGATTTATTGTAATTTTTTTTCTTTGGCAGTGTAGAGATCCAAGGGTTTGTGCAAGTTATGGACAGAGCCGTTGGCAAAGGGAGGCAAATATTTAGCCAGTGAGTCTCCTTTGAGACATCTCTCTTTTTATGTTGGCTGTTGCAGCTCAGAGATCATTATAGGTAGCAGATTAATCTCCAGCAAGCTACCTGGCGAGTGCTAACACCTTCACAGGCCATCTGTCCCCCTGTAGCCTTTGCAGGCTGTGTTTGTCCATAGGATCACCTTTCCAAGTGATCTTGGGCAACAGGTTAGAGGTTCAAGCAGGTTCTAGGTCTAGGATTTGCTTTAGTTGTTTCTTTGGCTTATTTTCATGTAGTCTAGATGTTCGTCAGGCTCTGAGGTAAGCACAAATTCCTTCACAGTGGACTCAGTCTTTGTGGATGGTGGCCAAGTATTACCAGCCCACCCTCCAGCTCGCTCGCAGGCTCACTCAGCTCCCACCCGGCCCACCCTCCAGCTCGCTCGCAGGCTCACTCACTCTCAGCTCGCAGGCTCACTCACTCTCAGCTCGCAGGCTCACTCACTCTCAGCTCGCAGGCTCACTCACTCTCAGCTCGCAGGCTCACTCACTCTCAGCTCGCAGGCTCACTCACTCTCAGCTCGCAGGCTCACTCACTCTCAGCTCGCAGGCTCACTCACTCTCAGCTCGCAGGCTCACTCACTCTCAGCTCGCAGGCTCACTCACTCTCAGCTCGCAGGCTCACTCACTCTCAGCTCGCAGGCTCACTCACTCTCAGCTCGCAGGCTCACTCACTCTCAGCTCGCAGGCTCACTCACTCTCAGCTCGCAGGCTCACTCTCGCTGTTGGCTGTGATGCCATTGCCCCAATTTGCTTCCATTAAAAATGTCTGTGTATTTCCAGAAGAAAAAAAAAACATAAAGGGGAGGGAATAAAAGGGAAGTTATTGTATAAAATCAAAAAAATAAAAAATAAAAATAATAAAAATAAAAAATAAAAAAACACACACACACACACACAAAAAAGAATCACATGTGTGAATTGTAATAGGATCAGACCTCATATTTGATGTTTGACTGCTGATTTCTTTGTAGGCCTCACCCTCCCTTCCCCTTTGGCCCTACATCTGAAAAGGCTGATAAGAAGGCCCCTGGACTTCTGTTTTCCTTTGGTACCAGCAGAGAATTTATATCTCCCCTGCACAGGAACTTTCCCCAGTCCCACCCGTTAGTCTGGGGGAAGGCCCAAATCTATTCCCTTTGCTTTTCCCAAGTCATTCCAGACCTACTTGTGCCCGTACAGCTCTCGCAGTAGTTTCTTGTGTGAGTAATACTTTCTCCCAACTTCTCTTGGTACTTGGAATGTCATCTGAACCAAATTTTGGATAGGAGCCCCTAATGCTTTTGTAGGAGGATAACACAACATATATATAAGCTCAAGTCAGATCTGGGCTAGACAAATATAGATTTGGGGCCTTCAGGATGTGAATCAGAGATAGCAACGAGATTTCATGACAAATTCTACTCTGATTATTAGGTAGAGGCTGTCCAGTGCATTGGGTTGGGAAGGTCCAAAACTCAGCAGTAAAGAGTTTTGCATTGATTATTGGTGTCTGCTGTGAACATGGGTGTTGGAAGTAAAGATCTGAATGTTATGTCTTTTTTCCCTGAACTAGAGGATCTCAGATTTCCTTCAATACGTTAACTTCGCATTAAGCTAAATTAATGGCAGGTAGTTGAGTAGTCTACCCAAACTAAGATAAAAGTCTTTATTGACAGGTAATTCAATATTATTTAATAGTTACATATTATTTATATAATTCACTGACAATATTACCTCTGCACTGACCCTAGATCTATTTTTGTTCTTACTTACTCAAATTTCTATGTGAAAACAATGAATTATTCAATACAAGCATCAGTATAATGTTGGTGATTCCCAAATTGGCTAAAGAATGTTAAAATTGCAAAAATTTGTATATCATGTTGTTTTTCCTTAATATAGCAATTTTAAAACTTCATTTCTCAAAATTGGATACATCTCTTTTTATAATGTCCTTTAAATCTTTATTGTTAACTTGTGAGTTTGCTTCTAAGAGACTGATAAAATATTTAATAGTTCTATAACCTAAACAAACAAGTGAATCAAAATTTGAAAACCTAGTTTTTTTTAGGGCAATCATAGACCTGGTTTAACTGTGGCCAGCAGTGACTTTTTTCTATGACTCCAAAGTATTTACTCTGTACAGATGCATCAATTAGGCATCTCCTATCCTAAATTGGCTTAATAATACCACAGGGAACTTATTGCTTTTTTAACTGGATAGTCCTCCATGGCACAGGGGAAGGGAATTTTCCCCTCCTGGAAGCTAAGGGAGAAGACTCCAAGAAAAAAAAAAAGTTTTTGATTAGGCACATGTGAATGGAAGGTTTATTCCTCCGTCTTTTAGTCCATGTAGGTAGGTTGTGACTCTATCCTGTGCCTACCTGTTCAGGAATAAGAATTTAAAAAACAAAACAAAACTAGAGAAAGCAGATAGTGGCCATGGAGCAGCCTGCACATTGTTGATTGGCTGACAGTCAGACATTTCGGGCCCAGCTGTCTTGCCGGCATGTGGACTGATGACCAGAGGAGGGCACTCAGAGCCTGCAATAAACTGATGGCGGAATCGCCTGCAGTGACAGTGGGGGGGTCTTGGGAGCCAATCGTCCAGACCCGAGCTCTACAGTGAGGAGGCTCTTCGGGATCTCTGAAGAACTCGGACATTCAGCCCCTTGATAGAACCAGCATTTGGTAGCTTCCCACTCAAAAGGTAAGCTAGTCAATGCTGGCTTCAGGAGGGATGACAACCAGCATGGCCAGTTGGATGAGGAGACCTTCGTTTCTCTCCTTCCATCAAACCCCATCCCCTGAGTGGCTAGACCCATACCTTAGGTAGCGTGTCTAGTGCTGAAATTGAGAAGCCCTAGGGATTAGGGACTTTTCTGAAAAATAATGTCACATTCCACCATACAGTCCTTCAGTGAGCTGGTTCTTCCTAAAGGAAAGGAATATGTGAAATCCTAGTGTGGGAGTTAATTTGGGTGAGGAATGAAACAAATTTCAAAGGAAGGAAAATATTGGTAATTCTGGGCCAACCATTTTTGATTTGGTGTTAACCACCGCTCTTTATATATGTCTTGTCCCCCTCCTCCCTAAAAAAATCCACAAGTTCTTTCTTACAGCCTCAAATCATCCCAGATTATAATATAATTAATTTATTCAAAATATAACATTTTTTTGGTTTGTTTTAGAATAAAGGAACATGAAGAGGAAGAAGAAAGGAGGAGAAAATCTGAAGAAAATGATGCTGAGGAAATAAAGCGACAGAATGCATTATATGAAATAGAAATGAGAAAAAAACTAGAAAAGAAAAATAAAGAGATAAAGGAAAGGAGGAGACTATTTTTTGTAAGTTGAAAATACAGCATCTCTTCAAAATATGTACAAAGTCCAATGACTACATTGTAATATATTTTTTTATAAATAATAGTGGATTAGAAAACAAGTTGCTATTAAATTGGGTTTCTAAGTATATTGGGGGTAGCTATACTTGCTATGGTTTTATGTGGATGTGCTCACACGCAAGAACAAGAAATAAGAGAATGAAGATTTTTTTCAAATGAATTTATTTTCTTATCCTTAAAATGAGTTATCATATATATATTGTTATAAACATATAGTATCTCTTGATTTATCAATTTTAGTCATTTTCTGTGTCTTTGCCCTGGTAGTTGAGAATTTAGCTCAGCTTTGCTATTCTTGGAACACAGCTGGCTTCTGTCCTCAAGGTTGCCTCATGGCCCTGAATGGCTGCTGGAGCTCCTGCCTCGTGGCCACATTCAAGGCAGCAAGAAGGAAGGATGAAGAACAAAAAAGAGTGCCCTGCCTTGGCCGGGTACCTGAGTTGGTGGGAACATCATCCTGTACACCAAAAGGTTGATTCACAGAGCACATACCTAGGTTTCGGGTTTGATCCCAGATTTGGGGTGCATATGGGAGGCAATCAGTTGATGTTTCTCTCTTACATTGATGTTCTCTCTCTCCCCCTTCCTTTCTCTCTAAAATCAAGAAAAACATATCCTCAGGTGAGGATTAAAAATAATAATAAAAATAAATAATTATCTATTAAAAAATTTTTTTGTTAGAATATACACCTATATATTTTCTTGTATATGTGCTAAAACAAAGTCTGGAGTAGGAATTAGTTTCACAGTGATTGAGTGTAGTGGGTAGAGTTAGAAATAAGCAGATACATGTAGATGGGG